CAAAGGCACAAACTTCCAGTTACAAGAGAAGTAAGGAGAGTATGGTGACTGTGGTTGACAACACTGTATTTATTGTATATCCGACAGTTAGCAAGAGAGTAGATCTTAAAAGTTCTCACCACAAGCAGGGGCGCCTGGGTGGCGCAGTCGGTTAAGCGTCCGACTTCAGCCAGGTCACGATCTCGCGGTCCGTGAGTTCGAGCCCCGCGTTGGGCTCTGGGCTGATGGCTCAGAGCCTGGAGCCTGTTTCCGATTCTGAGTCTCCCTCTCTCTCTGCCCCTCCACCATTCATGCTCTGTCTCTCTCTGTCCCAAAAATAAATAAATGTTGAAAAAAAAAAAAAAAGTTCTCACCACAAGCAAAAATACCCTAAGTCTGTAAGGTGGACGCTAACTGAGCTTAATTGTGTGACGGTTTCACGTATATACATATATCGGGCCATTATGTCGTGCACCTTAAACTACACAAGGTTAAATGACAATTATATTTCAATAAAACCGGGAGGAGACTGAGGGAGGTCATGACAGAGCATGAGCATTTGGGGTTTGGAGGGCCAGTCAGAGGCTGCCCAGCACAGTGCGGAAGCTCTCGGACCAGCTCTTAGTCTGTACTTAATCTGTTTGGAGACACCGTGGTGTGGTGGCCGCCAACGTCCCGCTGTAGAAAACTCCCCTCCCTTCCTTCCTGGAATTCAGTCTCAATAAACGACAGTCTTATTTCTTTTTTTTTTTAATTTTTTTTTTCAACGTTTATTTATTTTTGGGACAGAGAGAGACAGAGCATGAACGGGGGAGGGGCAGAGAGAGAGGGAGACACAGAATCGGAAACAGGCTCCAGGCTCCGAGCCATCAGCCCAGAGCCCGACGCGGGGCTCGAACTCACGGACCGCGAGATCGTGACCTGGCTGAAGTCGGCCGTTTAACCGACTGCGCCACCCAGGCGCCCCAGACAGTCTTATTTCTTAAACAGCCCCTCCAGCAAAAAATCCGACCAGCAGAAACTGAATGAGGAAAAATTCAGAATACAACCTTGACACAACGTTTCACGGGACCAAAGAAAATATCGTGGCGAAGTGCTGTGTGGCTCCTGTCTTTCCCCACACACCTTCCTCGGGTACCAGCTGAAGCCCTGAAGAGAGGCCACGCAAATCCTGATAATGCTCACTAACATCCCCCAATCTGTAGGAAAGCTAACGAAAGGACAAGTAGAAAGCCTAGAAAAGTCCAGGAGAAATGGTCTGGTCGAGAGCAGAGGCGGGGTCTCGGCACAGGCGGGGCCTGCCAGGCTAGCCATCGCTGTAAATAGGGCTGACCCACAAAGGCAGCAAGGTTTTGCGGAACTGACGAGTGAGTAATGAATGAGGCTAGCTCACGAGAGACACTGTACCTCTATCTCTCCGTCTCAGGCTCAGGCTGGGAGAAGCCAGCCACCGTCTTGGGAGGACACTCACACGGCCTCAGGGAGAAGTCCACGTGGCCCGGAACCGAGGCTTTTGCCAACAGCCAACAAGGAATCGAGGCCCCTGCCAGAGGTGTGCTGGAGCTGGCTCAGCTCAGCTCAGCTCACGAGAGCCGAATATTAAATTATCAAGAATTTTGTGAACCAGCTAAACACGGCTCTTATTAAAAATTCAATTGCATAAGCTGGTAAATAAATCACAATAAAAAACTGTAGTACAATTTTGATATCAATTCCAAAGTGTGGGGCAGGGTTTAACATTTATTTATTTTTGAGACAGAGAGAGAGAGAGAGAGAGAGAATGAGCAAGGGAGGGGCAGAGAGAAAGAGAGAGAGAAGGAGACACAGAATCTGAAGCAGGCTCCAAGCTCTGAGCTGTCGCTATAGAGCCCGATGCGGGGCTCGAACCCACAAAGCGGAGATCATGACCTGAGCTGAAGTCGGAAACTTAACCGACTGAGCCCCCCAGGCGCCCCAGTTTTGTTTTATTTTTTTTCACACCACCAAGCAGTTAACTTCACCCTGACGCTCTCTCTCTGGAGAACAGCATCAGAACCCACAGCTTAAGGGCTTAGTCCTGCAAGAACGCCCCCCACTCCCTGACTCTAGACCCCAGTCACAACTTCATGTGGTCACCTGTGCTTCTGACCCACCGGCCATAAACTGGACGTTCCCACAACCGCTTCTTCAATTAACTCACTAGAATGGCTCACAGAGCTCACAAAAACACCGACATCTACCAGTTCATTATACAGAACATGATACAGGAGCCAGATGAACACATACACAGGGCAACGGTGCAAAGCGTCCGTGCTCTCTGACGGCACTGCTCTCCCGGCACCTCCCGGGACACCAACCCGGAAGCGTTTTGGGTTCTCTGCCCATTTGGGTTTTTGTGGAGGCTTCATTACACAGGTATAATTGATTGATTAAATCATTGGCCGCTGGCACTTGAACTCAATTTCCAGCCCCTGTCCCTTCCCAGGAGGCTGGGAGGGGGGCCTGAAAGTTCCAACCCTCGAATCCCATGGATGGTTCTCTCGCAACCAGTCCCCATCCTCAGGTCCTTTCCAAAGTCACCTCGGTCACACAACACAACACAACTCAACACGCCTTACCTGAGGTCACCATTTAGGAACGTATAAATGTTTTGGGAGCTCAGTGCTAGGAACAGAAGACTGAACATAAATTTCCTGTTATAAGATTATAAAACTATAAGTTATAAATCAAAACATTGTAAATGGCAATACACAAGACGTCACGGTTTGGCTACATTGTACTATTATCAGTGCTCTTAAGGTTTTTTTTATGTCTACTTAAATCCGCATGACGGATGTGCTGTGTCGATAATTTGAAATCAACCATCATGCGTGAACTTACGTCATGGAACCGGGTAAACAGGTAACACTAGGGTTTAATTTAACATTTTGTTGATTGTCTAGATTTAGAAAGTGGTGGTGAAAATGTTACTAATGCAAACTAAGTTGAAAAGTGTCTCCTATCCCGAGCCATTTCATTAAGAACACAAAAACTTAGGGAAATATTCTTCCAGCATTAGAACAGTAGTATTCAAGTCAGCAACAGTGTGGCTTGCCTGGGGGATGCACGAGTGAAGTTCTGACACACACCACTGCTATTCACTTTTATCCTCATCATTAATGTGAATTAAAACCAACATTCTTGTCAGAACTCCACTGGTAGAGGGGCACCTGGGTGGCTAGGTCAGTTAGGTGACTGACTTTGGCTCAGGTCATGATCTCACAGTTCGTGAGTTCAAGCCCCGCGTCGGAGCCTGGAGCCCTTCGGATTCTGTGTCTCCCTCTCTCTCTCTGCCCCTCCTCTGCTCATGCTCTGTGTCTCTCTGTCTCTCAAGAATAAACGTTAAAAAATAATAATAATAAAAAAAACAACTCCACTGGGAGAGCCAGCTGTTAAGCCAGCCACATGAGGGCACCGTCTTGGGAGTGGGGCCTCCCGCCCCAGTCCAGCCTTCAGACCACTGCAGCCCAGGCCCAGAGCTCGACTGCAGCCTCCTGAGAGCCCCGGAGACAGCACCACCCTGCCGAGCCACTTCCGAACGCCTGGCCCACAGAACTGTGTGACACAGCAAGCGTTTACGGTTGTTTTAAGCTGCTAAGTTTGGGGAGAATCTTGGCCACACCGCCATTTACAGAACTCTATTGCAGGGAAAATGAGCTACAATTTACTGCACTGTTTTGTTGTGACGCACTCCCAGGAGTAGAATAACCGACCTGAAGATTATGAGTAAAAATATATTTCTCGGCTTCCGAACGGTTTGCTGCCCGCAAGGAATACCTCTTTTGGCCTAGGGCGGGGTTCAGCAAACTTCTTCCTGAAAAGCCAGAGTACACGTTTTAGGCTACTGTAGGTTTAGTGGCATAATCAAGGATATTATGTAAGTAATTAGATAGCCATCTAGCATGTAACCATTTAAAAACGTAAAATCCTTTCTGAGCTCAGTGCCAAACAAAAATAAGACCTCAGGCTACAGTGCTACATGTCATACTTGGGTTTATGAGTCTTGCTCATAAAGTAGATATTAAGGGACATTTCATTTTTGTTTTAATTTGCATATGGCATCTTTATAGGAAAATAATGAAATCTATTCATCCTAACGTTGCCTCAGTTCTTTGGAAAAGCCATTGGTCAGTTAATTCAATATTTACTCAGGACCTATTTAAGAACTTTCTGTGGGCTCCTGGGGGGCTCAGTTGGTTAAGCATCCGAGTACGGCTCTGGTCATGATCTCACCGTTTGTGAGTTCAAGCCCCATGTTGGGTTCTGGGCTGACAGCTCAGAGCCTGGAGCCTGCTTCAGATTCTGTGTCTCCCTCTCTCTCTCTGCCCCTCCCCGGCTTGCACTCTGTCTCTCTCTCTGTCTCTCTCTCTCTCTCAAAAATAAATAAATATTTTTTAAAAATTAAAAAAAAACCTTTCTAGTCAAAATATGCTTGCTAGCAGTATATCATCTGGGTGCAGCTCCTTTTTCCTCAATATTCTTTAATTAATTAATTAATTAATTAATTAATTAATTATTTTAGAGAGTGAGCACGCACTAGCAGGGGAGGGACAGAGGAAGGAGGGAGGAAGGGGGAGAGAGAGAGAGAGAGAGAGACAGAGAATCCCAAGCAGGCTACACACTGTCAGCTCAGAGCCTCGATGCGGGGCTCAAACCCATGAAACTGCGAGATCATGACCTGAGCCAAAATGAAGAGTCAGACGTTCAACCAACTGAGCCACCCAGGTGCCCCAAGAGAGAGAGTATCTCAAGCAGGCCCCACACACGCTCAGCATGGAGCCTGATGCAGGGCTCGATCCCACAACCCTGGGATCATGAGCTGAGCTGAAATCAAGAGCTGGAGGCTCAAGCAATTGAGCACCCAGGCGCCCCTGCCCTCATTATTCTTGTCCTAACTTCTTTCTTTTCTTTCAAATTTTACATGACGTTGTCTCTTTAAATCCAAACAAAATGAAGCGAGATGTGATTTTGCAAATTTGCGTTTCTGTTTCCGTTTGGCTTAGGGTGAACAAGCTGACAGATTCCAGCACAGAAATCCAAACCCTCAAGATTCCCTCCATTCAGTCTCACCACCTGATCGGCGGGGTTCCTGTCAACAGAATCAAACGTATTCACTCAAGGATCTTCTCCATACCGTCCGGCCTGCCAATCCATCACAACACTGGGGTGAGCAAATATCTCACATGCATGCCAGGGGGCAGATTTGGGGTTAACTCTTAGAATCATCCTGTTCTTTGGTCAAGAAGTCCAGGTCACCCACCCTTTGCCAGGGGCTTGAGGAGAAATGTGTAGATCTTAGGCACAAAAGAGGCCCAGCCAGGTTCCCACAAGGCCATGCTCTCAGCTCTAGTTCAGAGACGATGCACTATTGTTTCCTGGCCACGATTAACTCAGTGGAAGAAAGTACCAGAAAAGGACACAGTAAAAGGTCTTGGCCCTTCCTCTTACCAAAAAGAAGAAAGAATAAAAGCACTGAATCTACCGGCCAAAAAAAGCATATTTAATCTTCCCGTTTTCATATTTCACTGTGAAACAGATCACATATCACACCTGCAGTTGAAGACATATCTATTTTAGTGTTTTATTTTATTATTTTTGAGGGAGGGAGAGGTGGAGGGAAGGGCATAGGGGGGTGTGAGGGCAGAGGATCCGAAGCAGGCTCTGTGCTGAGATCAGAGAGCCCGACACGGGGCTCAAACTCACCAACTATGAGATCATGACCTGAGCTAAAGTCAGATACTTAACCAACCGAGTCACCCAGGCGCCCCACGATTTTTTTAAAACATCCTTACGAACTATATGGATAACCTGTAATGTTCTTTTGTTATCGAAAAAAAAAAAAAGGATATTGATACGCACCTTACAAAATGGTCTCGATTTCGCCACCTACAAGGTATGACTAAAATAGTGAGACTCGGGGCGCCTGGGTGGCGCAGTCGGTTAAGTGTCCGACTTCAGCCAGGTCACGATCTCGCGGTCCGTGAGTTCGAGCCCCGCGTTGGGCTCTGGGCTGATGGCTCAGAGCCTGGAGCCTGTTTCCGATTCTGTGTCTTCCTCTCTCTCTGCCCCTCCCCTGTTCATGCTCTGTCTCTCTCTGTCCCAAAAATAAATAAACGTTGAAAAAAAAATTTTTTTTTAAAATAGTGAGACTGGTTTTCATGGGTTAGGGAAGAGATTGACTGCACTGTTCCACAATCTTGAATCATGTATAAAAGGGGCCTCTGAGTTGGAAAGGGTCTCAGGGCCATGTAGGCCAGCTGCCTGTCCTGTCCAGGAGGCTCCTCTCCAGCCCCCAGCAAGAGGTTAATCTGGGCTCCGCTGGGCCAAGCTTTGCTTCTGGAAACCTCCCAGGAGGTAATTCTCAGGGCACAACCTCGAACAAGTTGAGAGTAGCATCTTTTGACGAATGCTTTGGGTGGACGTGGCCTTCGTGTCCAAGGCGGGAGATTTCAGAGATGCTTGGTAGACTCTCCAGGATTTGTCGGTATTTGGGGCCAGAAACTTAAGAATGCCTGACTCAAACCTGACCACCAAGCCCACAAAGGCTCTGGGTGGATGAGTCACGCACAACGAACACCGGCCCTGAGGCTCGAGGGCCCCGTCTGCCCCAGCTCCCGCAGCACCAGCGAGAAGCCGAGCGCGAGCTCATGGCGCTGACCTCCGGAGCCTCCCACCCCAGGCCCAACTTTATGTCTTCGACCTCAGTGCACATGACCGCATCCTTTACACTGACTGCCCGTGCCACAAGGGCCACACTGTGCACGGGTCCTGCATATTTACCTGCGGGATATGTTACTAAAAGTGGAATTTCTAGCCTAAAGACTACATGCGTATTAGATTGTATTCATCCAGGTCATCTGTTTTCTACAAAAGTTGTGCCAAATGAAGACCTCAGCACTGGCATTCCACATCCTCACCAACTTAAAGTTTCTGATAATGTGGCGGGTTGAAAAAAAAAATTGTATCATGCTACATCTGCTATCTGTTCAGGCTACTACTCTTCCAGAGCTTTCCAATCTGTGACTTCCTTTTCTGCCATTAAATGTGAATCAAGTCATCAGGTCAAAGCAAATTTTGAACATCATCAAAGCATTAGACCCAATACGAGACTGCGGCCGGGGGGAGGCTAGCTCCTCTGTGTGGCCGTGTTAATGGTGTGTCCCCCCCCCCTTTTTTTTAATCGCAGTTCAGCCTCATCTGCCAACAGTTCTATGCCATGCTCCTGAAAAGGGTCCTGTACTCTTGGCGCAACTGGTTGTTGATGCTCACGGTACAGGTCCTGGTGCCCCTGCTGATCACCACCTTCAGCCTCACCATCTTCAACTTGGAAACGAACACGGGCAGCGTGCCGCTGGAACTGACCCTGAGAACGTACGGCCGAACCGTCGTCCCGTTCTATATTTCTCCCAATTCCAGGCTGGGTCCTCGGCTTTCACAGTATTTTACAGACATGCTTCTGGCGGAGGAACAGATCCCTCTGGAGACCTGGAGTAAGTCTGAGGCCCAGGAGAGCAGTGCGTGCTCTGGGGGCCGTGGTAGGGGGTGCGCCCTGAAGTCAGGTGAACAGCCAGATGTCTCAGAAGATCTCTTGGCCGCCAGATGACAGGAAAGGGAGAGGGTGCCTGGAAATGCAGCCAGGCTGTGTCTTTCTGGGGATGGCGGCATGTCCAAAACTGAAACGGACAATTATCTGCTGTTTGATGTGTCCCGAGAGGGGATTTACACTTCGATGGAGGGAGTTTGGTGACAGACATAGAGATCACTGAGCAAATGTGAAAAGGGAGGACATGAACTCAGGAGGGCAGGGGAAGATCGTATGAAAAAGGAGACCTACCATAACAGAGCACTTGATTGTGCCTTGACTTAACCAACTTTCTGATGTATTCCAGGGGAGGGGAGAGGAGGGCAGCCCTTAGGGGGTGGGGTGGGGTAAGGAACAAAGTCCCCACTTCCAGGATGGGACGTCCAGAGGTAAATGTGCTTCAGCGATCCAGAGAAACGCCAGCTGAGCGGCTGGAGAGTCTGGTTGCCTCGGGCGAGCGGGCACTGGGCACAACGAAGGGCAGGCCAGGGCCCTGCTGTTTCTCATCCCGAGTCTTGCAGGATTATCTGGTTTGAAAAGTTAGATGCACGCGTTCTCTTGGAAAGAAATAAAATGTTGAGGTGTTCACATTTTTAAATGAAGAGATCAAATGCAGAACACGGTGGAGCAAAATGGCGGGATCACAGCGCCCTACGTCTCCAAGCCTCGGTTTCTTGGTGGGGAAGACGGGGAGAAGGATAAAGCTCGCCTCCTCCCTCCCACCCAGGGGCGCACGCGGGGCCTGCGGAGTGAGCGTGCTGCCTGCGCGCGTTACTCCTGCTGCTGATGCTGTGAAGGAGGGTCCTTTTCAGCACCCACGACCCCAGAGGTCTAGGTGTGCGTATATTTCCGTGGTGCTGTGTGCCAAGAGTACCGGGAAGAACGGCGGTACCACTGGCCCATAGTGAGCTCCTTGCCCAGAGGTCCTGGAGAGGGTGACCACAGCTGCAATGTGTAGGGACCATCCCACTGTGGGATCACGGGGACACAGGTCGACCTCGGATGGGGAGAGACAGGCTGCGGAGTAAGAGCCTGAGATGTGAGCAGGGGTGGACCCCACGGCAAGCAGGGGGTAAGCGGAGAACGTTCCAAACCCGGGGCGGCGGGGGGTGGGGGGAGCACCTGTCAGCACGGGGCACGGCGGGTCCTCAGGTGTGGCCAGACCTTGAAGGCGCCAGTGGAGTTTGGATGGAGACTGGGCGCTGCGGGCCAGGTGGGCCGTGAGGGTCACTTTGTGGTTCGGGGAGGGGAGGTGCAGTGAGACCGCGTGTGTCCTTCCACGTAGACGGGAGCGACTGGAAGAAGCACGGGGCTTCTTGGGGCCACACCATCCAGGCAAAGAGTCACCTGAAAAAAAATGACTGGACGTTTTTCCTCCCCCTGCCCCCCGACGGCTTCAGTCAGTGAAAGGGACGTTTTGTGGAGGCCCGGGCGCGCGACGGAGGGGCCAGCTGCGTCCAGAGGAGCCCGCTTTCCTGGGGGGCGGGGCGGGTGGTGAGGCGCTCAGGGGGCGCGGGGCCGGGGTCCAGGGCGTGAGGCTCCGGGGCGCCCGGCTCTGTTGCAGGCTCGGTGGAGGACCTCCTCCTGGACAAGGCAGAGGAGGAGCCCGAGGGCTTTGATTTCAAATACGTCGTGGCTGCTTCCTTTGAAGACCAGGGGAACCACACGACGGTGACGGCGCTGTTCAACAACCAGGCGTACCACTCCCCTGCCGTGGCGCTGGCGCTCGTGGACAACTTCCTCTTCAAGCTGCTCTCCGGGGCCACGGCTTCCATCACGGCGTCCAACCACCCTCAACCTAAGTCGGCCCTGGAGGCCTCGGAGGACATCTTGTACAAGTGAGTGTGACCGTCCCGCCCCAGGAAAGCCTTCCCGCGCATGCCGCGTCCCCTCGGCCACCTATTCTTTCTCATCCGCTTCTCGCCGGGATTACAACCGTCACTGTGAAAGACGGCTGGTGTGAGCAGTTGTGCTCACACGGCTTCCTCTCCCCTCATGTCCTTTCGCAGCAGCCCTAAAGGACACTACCTTGTTATCAACTTGCTTTTCGGAATAGCTTTCCTGTCCAGCTCCTTTGCCATCTTGACGGTCAAAGAGAGATCCACAAAGGCCAAGCACATCCAGTTCATCAGTGGTGTTTATGTGGCCACCTTCTGGCTCTCCGCTCTGCTGTGGGACCTCATCACTTCCCTGGTCCCCAGTCTGCTGCTGCTGGTGAGGGCCGCGTGGTTCAGGGACCCTCCCCCCGCATATCCCGGCGGGAGCGGGGGCAGGGGGCTTGCCTTCGGGACCCTGCAAAGAAGTGTAGTCTGGCAGCCCACCCAGGGTGTGACTCATCACTCACTCTCGATAAAAGGTCCCAGCAGAGGGGCCTCCTCTAGGGTCTCCAATCTGCCGCATCCCCATAACTGTTGCCACGAGCTCCTAAGAGGTCATGCGTCGGGGACGTGTGTTCACAGCCCAGAAACAGTTCACCAGGGCACTGACAGGTGCAACCGGTGGATCGTGACTGCACTGTGCAGCTTGCGATCCCCTGGCACTCTGGGTGGGGTGGGTCACGTCCCCCTTTAATTGGCCTGTGCTTCATAACTGTCACGGAGCCCCTGACCTCGTGGTGCCGACTTCCAGGGGCAGGGCCAGTGTCTGCACTGTCTGATGAGTAAATACAGGGAGTACCTGAGCAGTACTGCTAACATCTTACATTTTGGTTTTTTTCCTTTTCTTTATTTTTTAAATTTACATCCAAGTTACTTAGCATATAGTGCAACAATGATTTCACGAGTAGATTCCTTAGTGCCCCTTCCCCATTTAGCCCATCCCCCCTCCCACACCCCCTCCAGCAACCCTCCGTTTGTTCTCCATATTGATGAGTCTCTTCTGTTTTGTCCCCCTCCCTGTTTTTATATTCTTTTTGTTTCCCTTCCCCTATGTTCCTCTGTTTTGTCTCTTAAAGTCCTCATAGGAGTGAAGTCCTATGATATTTGTCTTTCTCTAATTTCGCTTAGCATAATATCCTCCAGTTCCATCCACGTAGTTGCAAATGGCAAGATTCCATTCTTTTTGATTGCCGAGTAATACTTCATTGTATGTATACACCACATCTTCTTTATCCATTCATCCATCGATGGACATTTGGGCTCTTTCCATACTTCGGCTATTGTCGATAGTGCTATCAACATTGGGGTGCACGTGTCCCTTCGAAACGGCACACCTGTATCCCTTGCATAAATACCTAGTAGTGCCATTGCTAGGTCGAAGGGTAGTTCTATTTTTAATTTTTGAGGAACCTCCATACTGTTTTCCAGCGTGGCTGCACCAGCTTGCATTCCCTCCAACAATGCAAAAGAGATCCTCTGTCTCCGCACCCTCGCCACCATCTGTTGTCGCCTGAGTTGTTGACGTTAGCCATTCTGACAGGTGTGAGGTGGTATGTCATTGTGGTTTTGATTTGTATTTCCTTGATGATGAGTGATGTAGAACATTTTTTCATGCGCCGGTTGGCCATCTGGATGTCTTCTTTAGAAAAGTGTCTATTCATGTCTTACGCCCATTTCTTCACGGGATTATTTGTTTTTTGGGTGTTGAGTTTGACAAGGTCTCTATAGGTTTTAGACACTAACCCTTTATCTGATACGTCGTTTGCAAATATCTTTTCCCATTTTGTTGTTTGGCTTTTAGTTTTGCTGATTGTTTCCTTTGCACATCTTATTTTTTTAATATTTTATACATACACACGTATATTTTTTTCTTGAAAGAAAGAGGTTGAGCAAGGGAGGGGCAGAGAGAGGGAGAGACAATCCCAAGCAGGCTCCACGCTTTCAGCACAAAGCCCGATATGGGGCTCAAACTCACAAACCGTGAGATCATGACCTGAGCTGAAATCAAGTGTCAGACCCTTAATCAACTGAGCCACCCAGGCACCCCACTAACACCTTATTTTTTAAGTGGGGATCACCGTACCCTTTCTCTAATCCTTAGAATCGAACCCTCCCCCTCTTTCCCAAGGTGGTGTTTCTGTACCACGAGGAAGAAGCCTTCACACACCAGGAAAACGTCCAGGCCATCATTCTGGTGCTAATGCTCTACAGCTGGGCGAGCATCCCCTTGGTGTATCTGAGCAGCTTCTGTTTTCGCAACGAAGGGAGTGCTTTTGTCAAGCTCCTGGTCATGCTCACCTTCCTGAGCATCGGCCCATTCATTCTCATCTCAGTCATGGAGGACAAAGGTGAGGGCCGTTGTCCCTGCGTATCTCACAGGGTCTGCTTCCTCCTGTCACAGCCACAGAAGCTGTGTCCCCAGACGGGAGGCTGCTCTGAGCAGCTGTCTTGTGAAGAGTCCCAAACTGTGTCCCAATGTCCCCAGCACGTATCTCCGGGAGCGCAGATAAACACGGTGGCTATGTTCATCCAGGGGGCTGTGCTCAGCAAGAGAGAGGGAGAGAGGAGCCTTGCCCACACCTGCAGCAGGGCGGACCGGTGGGTCTCGGACCCCACTGACAGGACAGATCCCCGTGACAGAGTCAGGAGAACGGCGGCCTCTGAGTCAGGGGGAGGGTGGATTGACTAAACGGAGACGGCGGGGAACCTTCTGGAAATGCTCTGCATCTTGAGTGAGGTGTTGGTTGCGTGGGCATAAGTATTTGTTGAAATTCATCAAACTGTCCACTTAGAATCATGCATTTCATCGAAACAAATTATTCCTCAGGTTTAAAAAAAAAATTTAACGTTTAGATATTTTTGAGAGGGAGAGACAGAGTGTGAGCAGGGGGAGGGGCAGAGACAGAGGGAAACACAGAATCCGAAGCAGCTCCAGGCTCTGAGCTGTCAACACAGACATGGGGCTTGAACCCATGAACCGCGAGGTCATGACCTGAGCCGAAGTTGGACGCTTAACCGTCTGGCGCCCCAATTATTCCTCAGTTTTAAAACAGGTGGTAAGTAAATCAATAAGCCGAGGTTGGGAGAAGCCTGCTTGGTGAGTGTGTAATCAGGGTGAAAGCAGCTGGGGAATGAGCTGTCACTCACAGCGCACACCTTGACGTTGACATCTTTGCGTTTGGGCTGAATCTCTACATTGGGGTTTCTACCCCGATTCTCTGTGTCATTTGCTGTGATGGCAACTACTTCCTTTAAGGTGACTTTCTGTGGTTGTGTCTGCTTAAAAATGTGTGAACAGCTCCCTCTGTCTTCATCTTAGGGGCCTCCCTGTGTCTTAGAGGACTGGCCATGCGCGTATTTCCAGCTACCTAGAGCTTGTTTTACTGGTCTAACTGGCCGTGTTTTGCAGCACCCATTCTATTTGCAAACCACCTGTGGAGTTTCGGAAATTATTTTCATCCGAGATCAGAAAAGGGACAGCATTTTGACTTTATGATTGAAATAGAACAAAAGTGTGCTGCAGACGGAGGAAAGGGGCTAGCAAAGCATATCGTGAGGGAACCCTAAGCTCGGAGTTCTCCGCGGTAGTGTGCGCCTAGATTCACAGATCAGTCCGGACAGTCACCCTGAGCAATGCTGCCCTAAGCCTCCAGAAAGGACCTAGGGATCTGTCCCTTTCTCCTCTCCTCAGCCGCGCAGCCCCACCCCAGAAAGACAAGCAGCTCTAAGTCACTGAGGGGCCCTGATGGGGACAGAGCTTTCACCGAGAGTGACCAGGACGGGGTGCAGGGATCTCTGGACATTCTCTCTGGATCCCTCGACCTTTCTGGGATCCATTTCTTCTCAGATTGCTTCCTGCCATGTCTTCTCTCCCCTCCTACACAGCAACAAGGACCGAGACCATTCTGCCGCTTAGCGGGAGGCACCCTCCAACTTAAAAGTCATCGGGGAAGGAGGCTGGGACAGGACAAGAGCTCCACTTCTGGTCTGGGGGAAAGAACGCCCATCCCTACCCCTGAGAAGGGACACCATTAGAGAGACCAGACCCTGGCCACCATACACCCGCCCTGGGGGCTCCTGCTGTCACCACGGCAGTCCACACAGACAAGAGTATAAAGCTAAATCTGAGCTCCCTGTCCTGAGACTCTACTTGAATGACAGCAAAGGAAATGAAAGTGTATGAATTTGTGCTGAAGCAGCAACCAAAGGACATTTGGAGGGAAAATGGCTGAAAGGACCTAACTGAGCACCGCAGAAGCCCGGAGAAGCCTGGGAGTAAAGGTACCGCAGAGAATGGTCTGTGGCACCTCCACTGTCCCTGCTCCCATATCCCCAGCGGGAAGCACAGGACACACAGTCACCCCGGAAGGCGGAGACCCGCGTCTTGACAAACTGAACCTGCTTGCCAAAGAGACCTACACATTCAGACTGGTCCCTGCCTGGTTGCCCAGAATGTCGCCCAGCCCCCAGGTACAAAGCTAGCAACTCGCCTCCCGGCACCTCTGGTTTCTGTGGACAGATAGGCAGGGGCCGCCGAACACTTGAGGATGGCAGCCACAGAAAAGACGGAGACCAAAAATGAAATACAGGGGCAGGGAAATGCAGGAAACAAATCAACCATTTCGGAAAAGACTGCATCTATTAAACAGCAGACTTCCAGGGCACCTGGGTGGCTCAGTGGGTTAAGCGTCTGACTCAGCTCAGGTCATGATTTTGCCGCTTGTGAATTCAAGCCCCGTGTCGGGCTCAGTGCTGACAGCTCGGAGCCTGGAGCCTGCTTCGGATCCTGTGTCTCCCTCTCTCTCTGCCCCTCCCCCACTCGCTCGTGCGCGTGGGCGCACACTCTCTCACTCTCTCTCGCTCTCTCAGAAATAATTAAACATTTAAAAAAAACCAGCAGATTTCCATGAGGAAGAAAAACTCTGAGGGCAGGAAAGAACTGATTGCCCACATAAACATATAGCAGAAGGGTTGGAAGACGGTCTTTCGACCTCCCAGAAAGTAGAGCAAAAAGACAGGAGGAAAACCAGGAAGGTGCGAGCGAAGGCAGGTGCCGTGAGAGAGTCCAGGAGATGGCAGGCTGCGAATGGAGAAGCGTTCCACAACGAGAGGGTGGCTTAAGGAACTCACTAAAGAAATAAGCAAGAAGATTTCCCAGAGTTGGAAACAAACCAAGCTCGACTGAAGGGATCCATCAAACATCCAAAACTGAAGAAGGAAAGAGCACCCACGCCTTAAATCCAGATGCCTCCTAGCGGACAAGTTCTAAGCTCCATTCACCGGTCTCAACCAAGCAGAAGGACAGAATCAAGGCACGTTCAGACACAGCCGGGAGAAACGTGACCCACTGCGTCTCGTTCTTGGAAAGCTAGCGGAAAGATACAGGCCAGCAAGGTGAGAGGGCAAAGCAGGACAGAAGGTACAGGACACGGAAAGGAGTGGGTCCAGCCCCAGAGTGCAGCGGAGAAGAGTCGCCTTCGGGTGGGGGGCAAGATACGGAGGATGGTTCGCGACCACGTGCTTGGGCTTTAAGCAGCTTTGGGGTAGGATCCAGAAAGAAGAAAGGGAAGTAAGCAGGAGCCATGAAAATCTGCTTCTTCAGTTGGACGCATTGCTTGTGGATGTTTTCTCCGATTCTGGTTAGGGTGAGCTGGGGGGAAGGGGGTGTCCCCGCTCAGCTTCCAACCACGCCCCGCTCAGGGCCCGGAGACACGGCCAGGCTGTTGGTTCCTAGGCCGCTCGCAAACCTTGTGTGTGTAGTGGCTAAGCCTTCCCATCGACCCCACCCACGACCCCACCCACGCGGGGGGGCCGCAAGGCCGGGGTTCGGGCAGCTATCCCCTCCGCCTCCCCCTCAGCCTCCAGGCTAGATTTCCAAATTTAAAATTCTAAAGAGAGAAAGTTAGGAGGCCATGGTCCTCTGCGCTTCCCTCCCAGTCACTCTGCCACCTTCCTAGCTGTCCTGCCAGGTTACCATCTCAGGTGCAGCTCAAGCCTGGTCACCGGAGCCATAACCCCTGGGCCTCGGGTACCCACACCTTGGCGAGCACAGAAGGGTGGCCCTAAACTCTGCTTCCTGCCCCTTGTGTGGGCCATGTCTCAGCGGCCAGCACACATTGGTTGAGACGCCTCGTATCCAAGTTCAACTCATCATGCACCCCAGTGGCCGCCCCCCACCCCCGGCAAGAATTTCACGGATTGATACCCAAAAGCGGTAAGGCTCTAAACACAAGTCCTGAGAGTATAGTTTCTTTCCTCTCGTATAATTGGCTCAGCCTCTCCCCAGGCCATCTGCAAGTCACGTGTCCCTGGGCTCCCCCGAATTCCTCGTGGGTCTGGAGCCACAAAGTGTGACATGAGAGCCCCAACCCCCGCCCCTCGGTTCCTCCTTTCTGTCGGTGACACTGTGCTGGGGCTGCACGTTGCGGGGCGAGGTGGGGCGGGGACCGGGGGGATGGTGGCGGGACTCAGGGGCGTGTGTGAACTATCAACACGGTCCAGTACCGGACCATGCCTCGTGCATGCACCACACATCCGTCCTCTTGTAATAAGCTTAGGTGTAGAATATTGCTTTTACGGAACACGTTTGTTTATTTGTTGTAAATAAACATTTAATATTTTTTAAATGTAGCTCAATTTCTTTACAACCTTGTTCGGTATTCCGTTTTTTTAACGTAACACAAATCTAAAAATTGGTTTCTCTTAACCTCTAAGGGGCCCCAGTTTCTGCATATTTACTTCACAACCAGCCAATTGGCTCACCTTGCCTTCATTTCTTACTCTGGTTGATTCTTGTGGCCTTTCCAGGTACGTGGTGACGTACAGCATCGCAAATGATGGTTTTGTCTCCACCAACTATATAGGCGGGTCCCGAGTCTCGTTATCCGTTTGTACCATGACGTTCAGACAACCTCACAGCGGGCCCACCAGACCCTGCGGTCAGGCCCCAGCTCCCCTGTAAACCGTGTCTCCCTCCGGCCTCTAAACTCACCCCTTCCACAGATGCGTTTCACGAGGCAGCTGAGCTCTTGCTGGGTTTCCCAAAAATCACACCAAGCATTTTGGCACACGTCTGCAGGAACAGATGGAGTGGGGGTGAAACGCAGGCTCAAGAAGCATTGCAGAAGACAAATGTTCACAACGTGGGGGCTGAGTGACCGCAGAGGGGGAACCAGGTCTCTGGTCTGGGGCCAGGCATGACAGCGCGGTGAGAGATAACAGATATAGATACAGATAACAGATACAGACATCAGATCCTTGGTGTAGATAGACAGGCAGCTAGCTCGGAGAGACGTGTGCTAGGGGACATGCCCTCTTCCTTGCTGCGAGGAGAGTTACTATTTTCTGTCACCCTCACAGACCAAGGCCGCACCAGGGTCTCGGAGTCGTTGGATCATGCCTTCCTAACGCTCCCCGGCCACTGCCTGGGAATGGCTCTCTTCAACTTATACTACAACTACGGACTCCAGAAGTTATGCGAAACCAGGAACCTGAGCCAGTCTGAGTGTAATAAATTTTGTGAGTATCGCAGATGGAGATCCGCCCTCCTACAGGATACAAGTCAACGGGTCTGGGCATATTCACAAGGCTGTACAAGGAACACCACGATCCCAGTTCAAGAACATTTCCATCTGACCAAAAAGAAACGCCCTCCATTCACACTCCTTCCCCATTCCCTTCTCCCCATAGCCCCTGGCAGCCACAAAATCTACTTTCTGTCTCTGTGGATCTGCCTCTTGTGGACATTTCATATAAATGGAATCACAGAGTACGTGGTCCTTTATGTGTGCCTCCTTCCACTCGGAGTAATGTTTGCAAGGTTCACGTCCGTTGTAGCAGGTATTAGTCCCTTGTTCCCTTTTTGTGGCTGAATACTATCCCATTGTGTGAAGGGACCACGATTCGTTCGTGTATTCATCCAGTGATGGACATGTGGGCTGTTTCCACTTTTTGGCAGTTATGAATAGTGCTGCCGCGAACATCCACGTTCCAGCTTTCGCGTGGACGTGTTTTCAGTTCCCTGGAGTCCATACCTACGAGCGAATATGTGGCTTAGCTCTTTGAGGAGCCACCAAACTGCTTTCCGTGGTGGCTGAGCCCATTTTACATTTTTGCCAGCGATATAAGACGGGTCCAATTTGTCCACATGCTCTCCAACACCTTGCAAAATTATCTATTTTTTTCAATTGTGGCAAAATGTATATAAAGTTCACCATTTTGTCCGTTTGTGAGCATAAGTTCAGCGGCATGAAGCACAGTCACACTGTTGAGCAGCAATTGCTACCGTCCGTCTCCAGAACTTTTTAAGTTTCATTTATTTATTTTGAGAGAGAGAGAGAGAGAGAGTCCCAAGCAGACCCTGCTCTGTCATTGCAGAGCCCAACACGGGGCTCTAACTCACAAACGAAGAGATCATGAGCTGAGCTGAAATCAAGAGTCGGACGCTCAGCCCGCTGAGCCGCCCAGGCGCCCCTGTCTCTTTTTTCACCCTGCACAACCGAAACTCTGTCCCCATGAAATTCTGATGCCCCCTCCTGCGGCCACCATTTCACTTTCTAACTCTGTGAATTCAACTACCCTAGGTACCTCCTATGAAACGGCTTAATTTCTTACTTCCTTTCATGTGTATTCTAGAGCTATCTTCTTTGTGGTCACCACCCACCCTTCAGTTCTGACGTTGCATTTTGAGTTTGCGCGAGCTTAACTTCCATAACACAAAAACTGCTCCTATACCACCCGTACCCACTCCCTTTCAGTGACTGTGTGTTGTGTATCCAGAATCATGGAGTGGTCATTGTTTTTATGCAGTTTCTTCAGTGGTGTAGAAAACCACAAGCGGGGTTACAAAGCCGACTTGCAATAATGCTGGTTCTTATCACTGTCCCTGTGTTTACCATCGCCAGACATCTTTATTATTTTGATCTCTGCATCCTGATACGGCCGATGTCCCTTACGCATTATTAAATGAAACTAGTGAGTTGGAGAAAATAATGCATGGTATCACTCCATTTATATTGTAAAAGATCGTATCTCGAAAGGGTAGAAGGATTAAACAAAACTATCACAACAGTTTGGGTGAGCGGAGAAGTAACTTTATTCTCTCCCTCGTCCGTGTTCCTTTTCCCCCGGGTGTATTTACAGCATAATTTTAAAATACACATATTTAGGGGCTCCTGGGTGGCTCAGTCGGTTAAGTGTCCGACTTCGGCTCAGGTCATGATCTCACAGTCCATAAGTTCGAGCCCCACACAGGGCTCTGTGCTGACAACTCAGAGCCTGGAGCCCACTTCGGATTCTGTGTCTCCCTCTCTCTGACCCTCCCCCGTTCATGCTGTCTCTCTGTCTCAAGAATAAACATTAAAAAAAAAATTTTTTAATAAAATACACATATTTAAAAGAAAAATCTTAAAGCAGATCAGATTAAAAAGAGGGGAATAGAGGGGGCACCTAGGTGGCTCAGTTGGTTAAGCATCAGACTTCAGTTCAGGTCATGATCTTGTGGTTCGTGAGTTCGAGCCCTATGTCGGGTTCTGGGCTGACAGCTCAGAGCCTGGAGCCTGCTTCGGGTTCTGTGTCTCCCTCTCCCTCTGCCCCTCTCCTGCTCACGATCTCTCTCTCTCTCTCTCTCTCTCTCTCTCTCTCTCTCTCTCTCTCTCAAAAATAAATAAACATTTAAAAAATTAAAAAGAAAATATTTTCTAAGAATTAAAACAAAAAAGAGGGGAATAGAGGCTCTCAAATGTTTTTACGTGACTGGTTGTTTGAAGCTGTAGGGGACTGAAGACAGATCAAAGAACCAAACGCAGAAATATCTTGCATTTCAAACAGCTGTCACGTGGACAGGGCGAGGTCCTTGATTTTACTGCATTATTTGCACAGATGATGGGTTGTCGCAAGAAAAGCAAAGTGTAGTTCATGTTTACCATCTGCCGGGATGTGGTGACAGCACTGGTGACGCACATGTGGCATTCCAATGGTACTTGCTCTGGTAGAAATTTGCCCACTATAGGTAGAAGGTGAGGAAAAGCCGGGAAACCACCCAAAGTTTGGTAACACCTGCTTTTTCCCCGTTAGTAGAGGGATACACGGTCCAGGAGAGCGTCTACGCCTGGGAGTCCCTCGGGATGGGGAAGTACTTGGCAGCCCTTGCCATCTTGGGGTCTGTGTACCTCATCCTGCTTTTCCTCATTGAAACCAATGTCTTGTGGGAATTGAAAGCCAGGTTTTCTGACCTCAACGGGAAGCAAGAATCGGTGAGTGGGTCAGAGAGTGACTCTCAAAGCACGGGTGAACGGGCTGGCTCACGGCCTCCTGTTTGTGGTCGGGAGTGGCCTTGACTCTCAGCATCTGACGAGAGACGGTAATCCACCCCCAGGGCAGAGGGGGTGACAGCCAGTGCCGGGGACCCCGTGGCTCTGGAGGGACAGGGAGGGGGGAGGGATGGCTTGGCTCCTGTGACGCTGGTCAGCCGAGAAGAAGCAAAACCAGTCCCCTTTCCGGAACGCCTCTTCCCCACGTTCCTCCAGGAGCCTGATAGGAGAAAGGTCTGTTCTGTCAGCTCTTGGTCTGAGAATCTTCCAGAGGCAAAAGTCCCACAAGGACTTCAGAAACTCTAGAAAATGGACTTGTGCCTTCACATCCCCAGGCTTCAAGTCTTTGAATTTTTCCCAAAAGGAAAAGCCACGTGGAATTTCCACATCCACCATACCCTGGCCACACGGCTGTGAGCTCGGTCCGGAACACCCACATTGGCCCCGGGGGAAGGGGCGGTGGGGTGTGCGTGAGGCCTCCGCCTCCCGCCCTCGCAAAAGCGCTCACCCTTCCCACCCTTGTCTGGGGAAAGCAGGTAACGTTGCAGAAGGTAACATCCGTGCCCAGAGACCAAGATGTGCAAGAGGAGGCAAAAATGGTCCAGACTTCTTTGAAAAAGCTGCGTGAGGAAAACCCACTTGTTCTTAAAGACGTGTCAAAGGTAACATCAGACGTGCCCCAAAGGCAAAGAATCCCAAAGGCAAGACCATTCTTCGGGTGGCCCTTTGATAAGGAAGCTGCTGCCTGGGCGGGGGAGGGGCCCTGTCTGCTAGCTCCAGCCACCAAGGACTGAGACAGACTGGCAGGGGCGCGTCCTCTGTGAATGAACCGCATCCGAGTTTGTTTGCACCCAGGGTGCCCAAAGACAGGCGTTAGCACCTCAGCCCTCCATCGCATCTTTGGGGGTCCCCTGCAGGACAGGAGGGCCTAGCGTGGGACGGCACCGGAGCCCCAAACCCCAGGAAGCCTCAAGGTTGGACAGGACTGGCTGACCCTCTCCAGGATCTAGAAGGCAGTTTGCAGGGGAGCCCGTGTTGGGGGAAGTGTCAGACAGCTCAGAGCAAACCTGGTTAGTCTGCCCCAGAGCTCCAGCCAGAATTTTACCAAGAGACCCTTCAAACATCCAGGAACCTTGTAGCTTTGTAGTCACCGGTGGCCAAAACAAACCAACAAACCAACAACACAGGCGACATCGAAGGGGTTATGCTTTAAGGACAGAAGGGAAGAGGCTTATCCTGGAGAACTAGGCTCTCCGGGTTCGCAGGGGAAAAAGGAGAGTAGACTTCCCTCACCCTGCCAGGAGGGAAGGCAAGGCCAAGCCTGGCACACACCGGCCCCTGGGCCCGGAGGGCAGCCGGGACCTGCCCCAGAATGGAGGTGACAAGCACAGGGGAGGCTCCGGGCTGCTGATCCCCGGACTCCTTACCGAGTGCCTTCTGTCTTGGGCACATCAGGTCTACGGCAGGAAGGTGCCCCTGCTGGCCGTGAACAAGGTGTCCTTCGCTGTCCAGGCAGAGGAGTGCTTTGGCCTTCTTGGTGTCAACGGAGCTGGGAAAACGTCCATCTTCAAAATGCTGACCGGGGAAGAGCCCATCACCTCTGGGGACGCCTTTATCAGGGGCCTCAGCATCAGCTCTCACCTCAGGAAGGTAGGGTGTGACCGGGACGGGGTAGCTGTGTCGGAGGAGGGGCCGCGAAAGTGCACCTGGGGGTGTGACGCAGGGGTGCACCTGGTCTCAGAAGACCCCCGTGGATCAGGTGTATACGTGCCTCCCAGCCCCACGGCCCCCCTTAGACCTCTTCTCTGAGCTCCCTATCTCTGGTGTCGACTGCTCACAGCCCTCCACATCCCTCCCAAACGGCCCCGCGTCCACCCAGCCTCCCGGCCGCTCCCCTGCACACACCAAGGCCACTCCAGACTTGCGGCCGCTCCCCTGCGCGTGTGAGGCCACTCCAACCTCCCGGCTGGCCTTTCCTGCCTTTTGCGGGGCATCGCATAATGCGGACTGTCCCCCCTGAGAGCTGCAGCCTTCCCCTCTCCTCTGGCTCTTCCCACCATGACCCTTCTTTCCCAGACTCCTCAGGGCTGCAACACCAGCCCTCTGTACTTCTTGCTCCATACTCGCCGCCCCTGCCTGACTTGGTCGTTACCCCACCCCCACCCCCACCCCCGTCTTCGGCCTCCCCCGTAGCCACCACAGCCCTGTGCATCAGACCTGCAACGCACGCCTCCTAGCCGGCCTTACTCAGACGTCTCCCAGTTTAAACCCAAACTTACATGATGAGCCCCTCGAACCCGATCCTCTTCTCAGAGTCCCCACCTCAACTACCAGCACCAATTCAACAATGGCCTGGACGTGCTAACAACTGTGCTGGGCCCAGGACTCTCAGTGGCCAGGAGCTCTGGTCACGACAGTGAGTCCCCACCATGCAGGGAGCGGAGAGGAACACGGCAGTAGCTGGCGGTGGAAGGCGGAGGAAGAGACCAACCGGCGGCAGCATAGTTGAACCTGCACTCCACAGCACCAGCCACCGTGTCACCGGGAAGTTCTTCCAATCAGCTGCAGTGTCCGTGACCAAGACCGTGTTCAGAGAGAGAGCAGAAGTGCCCACACAGGCGCGTTCAAGAGCGTGTATTGCCCGGTACAGAGCCTGGCCAGACAACCGCAGCCAACATAAGCCTCTCACGGCTGTGAAACATTTACTGCTCATTTTATCTTTTTTTTTACCATTGTAAAAATTACGGGTCAGGCTTCTGGCAACAGCAAAGTACATATCTCTGACCGCCTTCCTGGTGATAACTAGAAAAACAGGACCAAATTCTGAAAACACCTCCAGGGGGCTGAAAAGATGGCAAAGACTGAGCTAGGAGGGAAGAGGGGAGAGGCCCAGGGAGGCAACCAGGTCCGGCCTGGACGGCTGGGAGCTGAGTGCCGCTCTTGGCGCCGAAGTGACAGGCACTGAGTTCCGGGCGAGCACATCCTTTCTTAGAGGGTGGACCCCCAAGGCTGCACCCTGCTGTAGACACGAGCTACATGTAGACAAGCTCATCCAAGGATCGCACAAAGGCCTGGCCTGGTCTCAGTCCCCGAAATGGGGCTGACGGAACCCTGAACCGCCAGTGCTCCCAGACACCTGTTGGAGGCAAATGTCCATCTTCTCTGGGAGGAAATGCTATCACTGTGGCTTCAAACGATTTCCAGAAACAGTTATCCAAAGCACTGCTTGGTGAGCAATAAAAAATAAGCAGGTCCGCGTACAAGACAAAATCCCGCCTCCGAAGGATATTACAGAGTGAAGCCTGGAGAGTCAAAGGGCAGACGCTATCCAGGAGAAGGCAAGGAACATGACACACAGTGGAGACAGCCCAAGGGACCCTCCTCCTGGGATTCACACCCTTGAGCAGCCCCTCCCGCGCTGGGCCAAGGGTGGGTCTATGCAACCAGCAACACGGTGGAGGAGAGATGGGGTGTCAGCCCCAAGACTGGCTGAGAGGAGAGCCCACAGCTTCCGTCTGGAATGCGCCCCTTCCCTCACATCCCTCAGGCTGCTGGAAGCTGACTGCCACATCATGAGGACGCTCACAGGGCCCTGTGGAGGGAACGGCCCCAGGGTCCGGAGGCCTGCCCATCGCGACCAGAGGGAGCTCAGAGGCAGATCCCCCAGGCTTCAGGTGACATAGGCCCGGCAGAGAGCCTAAAGGCCGCCTCATGAGAGACCCTGCCCAGAACCACCCAGCCAAGCTGCCCCCAGATTCACGATCTGACCTGCAGAAACCACCGAATAACTAACAAACTACAGCTACGTTTTGGAGTAATGTGTTTTACAGCCATACGTAATAATCTGATACAGAGGATGCGGTGAAAAGGTTTAATGCACGTGTAACTGAAGTCTCAGATGGAAAGGACACAAATATGAGGCAAAGTGGGACTTGAAAACTTAATGTCTATAACATTCCCAAGTTTATGAAAGACATCAAATTATAAATAAGTAAATCTCTATGAATCCTAAGCAGGAGAAATTAAAAGAAATAAATCCCTAGGAACGTGATCATAAAACTGCTGAACCACAAATACAGGAGGACCCACTTTGGAAGGAGCAACACTTAGGCCAGCAGATGACTTCTCAACAGAAACGAAAGAGGCCAAAAGACGACAGAATGTCACCCTACAAATGACACAAGTGCTAACGACGAGCCCAGAATGATACATGCAGTCAAGCCATGCTGTAAAAAGGTCAGAAGACGTTTCCAGATAAGCAAAAACTGACAGAACTGATCACCGGTGTATGCGCACCAAATAATGATAATAAATGAGAGCCACCTTTACCCAGAGGGAAAATCATCCCTGAAGGAAGCTCAAAGTCATGCAGAAAGGATTGAAGAGTGATTTAAAGAAGGGGGGGGGGGGAGAAACATATGAGTTATGATTAAACAAAGCTATAACAATAGTTTCTCGTGAGGTTTAAAATACATACAAATATTAATGGGGTGCCTGGGTGGCTCGGTCGGTTAAGTGTCCGACTTCGGCTCAGGTGATGATCTCATGGTTCGTGAGTTCGAGTCCCACATTGGGCTCTGTGCTGACAGTTCAGAGCCCGGAGCCTGTTTCAGATTCTGTCTCTGTCTCTCTCTCTCTGCTCCTCCCCGAGCACAAGAATGGGGGCCAGGAATAAGCCACAGAGGGGGACTGTAGGGAAATGAAAACAATAATGTGACCGACGATGAGAAGTGATGGAGAAAGAGGAACACAGAATACGAGAATACGTGGAACACTCAGCCCTGAAAAAGTGGGCAGATCGACATCCAAACACATCAGTAAGTATGTTAAATACAAAGGGACTGAAAGCCCCAAGGAAAACATGATCCAGGAAGATACTCAAACGATGAAACACAAAGTCGACACCCGAGCCAGAAACTCCACCCGGAGGCAGTAACCCCGGAGAAATGGAAACCTACATCCACATAAAAACCTGCAGGTGGATGTTCACAGTAGCATTTTTCACAGGAACCAAAAGGTCCATCAGTGGATCCACAGATACACAACACGTGATCCACGCGTACGATGCAACAACGTTCAGCCACGTAAAGGGATGAAATGCTGACGCGCGTGCCACAGCCTGAAAGACACGATGCTCACCGGAAGAAGCCAATTAGAAAAGGGCACATATCAGGGGCACCTGGCTGGCTCAGTCGGTGGAGCCTGTGCCTCTTAATCTCAGCGTCATGAGTTTGAGCCCCATGTTGGGGGCAGAGACTACTCAAGTTAAAAAAAAATGTTAAGGGGGCACCTGGGTGACTCAGTCTGACTTCGGCTCAGATCATGATCTCATGGTTTATGAGTTTGGGCCCCACATCGGGCTCTGTGCTGACAGCTCGGAGCCTGTTTCGGATTCTGTGTCTCCCTCTCTTCTCTGCCCCTCCCCAACTCACGCTCTGTCTTTCTCTCAAAAATAAACATAAAAACATAAAATATATATACATATTATAAAATAAATGAAATAAATAAAATAAATAAAATAAAATAAAATAAAATAAAATAAAATAAAATAAAATAAAATAAAATAAAATAAAATAAAA